TAAGCCCGGAATCCGTGGAGTGTTGCATTTGCTTGAAAGATTATTTGGATAGCGTTGATAGGATTCAACACATGACATTTTTAGAGACGGAGATTGAAACGGTGGAAGAAAATCTTGAAGAAAATGAAATCTCTATGGGACTAAGCACGCCACCAACTACCGATACCGATAGCACTTACTCCCAGTCCCAATCCCAATATGACGATGATGAGGAACTCGACATCGATGACCTTGAAGACAATGAGGCTATTAGAAGAATTCAATAGACCGGAACTCTTCAAGTCAATCCGACATGGGATACCGATGAAGATTGATAGATAAATGTATTTTATTAGCATTTTGTAAAACAATGTCACTTTAATCATAATAAAACGTACTTTTAAAGTGTATTTGAGTAAATCGTATTTTTAAAATTAAACGTATATAACGAAACGTATTTATAAAATTAAACGTATATATAATACATAACAAAAACGTATTTGTAATAAAACATATTTATAATAAAACATATTAAAAATAACATATTTCGAAAATATTAATAACATATTTTTAATTTATTAATTACCAAAAAATAAAAAATAAAATTTTTTTTTCAAAAGACCGGCCGTAACCGGTTATGGGACCGGAACTGGGACCGGTTTTCCTTGACCGGTTATAGTGTTTTTCGTCGGGACCGGGACCGGTTATGGAGGGACCGGTTAACGTCGGTTTTTGTCACGATTAGGCCCGGCCGTAACCGGTTAAGGCCCGGCCCGGGACCCATTTTTGGCCATCTCTAATGGCCGGTTATGAAAAAGATTAGGACTGTTTGAGACCAGCCCGGCCCGGTCCGAAACCGATTTTTGGCCATCTCTAGATCGAGGAGGTGACGGTCCAGGGCAGCAAAAACTAAGGGCATGAAATATACATGTATAGGTTGATTTTTGATTTGGGCCTAAAAAAAAATGTTACCCAAGTCTCATCTCAAGCGGCCTTGATTCGTCCTCCTCCTCCCTCGACTTTCGCAGTCTCGCCTTGCTCTGTCGCTCACAGTCACGGACGAAGAGTTTTCTCTAATCAGTGAATCACCACTCTTCTGAACTCACGATTCACGAATCACGAATCGAAATCTCGCTCTCTGCCTCTCTCRAGTCTCGACTCTCGACCGTCTCTCGGCCTCTCGCTCGCCTCATCTATCGATTCACGGCTAAACCTAGACGAAATCCTCTCACGAATCTCGCATTTGAAATCTTGATTCACGGTTAGTCACTAGTAATTAGTTTTAGTATTGTTGATGTTTTAATAACAAGTACATAGAGGCTTAGATGATTTTTGATTAGGTATTTTAGATCTTAGGTTTATATATATGATTAATCATTGTCTTTGTAAATTTAGGAAATAGAAGAGTAAAATATGATTTTTGGTTTAGTGTTTTTCCAATTCCGATTTTTGTCAATTCTAACTTTTGAGGAGAATGTGCTTCGAATTCTGAGGAGTGAGGACTCAAATAGAATAGAGCAGTGTACTTTTTGTGCCATGTTCTAATTCTTATATTCATTTCCATGTACTAATTGCCATGATTTGCAAACTCACTGCCACTATTCTCAAGGTTTATTGGATATATATATATATATATATATGTGTGTGTGTGTGTGTGTGTGTGTGTGTGTGTAACGGGAGGTTCAATAAGAATGCTAAATATTCGTGAGAAGGTAAGATCTAAGAAGTGAAGGTTCCTATGTGAATCATTATAAAAATTCATTTGAAGATGCATATGTGAACCCATATGAATAATCTATAATGTTGGTTCACATATGGATCTTGAAACAGATTTTTTCTGATTTTTCTAGTGGATTAGATATTAACCTTTCCCTTCTTACCTTCTCACAATATTTAGCCTTCTTATTTGAACCTGTCACTATATATGGTTTCAGCATAAGTACTTGTCTCCATATTCTACCTCGTGTAAGTGACCTTGGCAATTTTTTTAGCAGATTACTGAAAATTGTAAGTAACAGTGGCTCAATAGTTAAATACTTGATTGTTGTTTGTCTGAGACACAAATACCTACAAAACCAACATTAGAGAAGATGAATTTGGAAGTTTCAAACTCGCTTAAGATTGTGATACAAGCAAAACATTACCATTATGAAAAGAAGACTAATAGGATTTTGTACTACAATAGAATTTGTAGAGGAGTGTTGCCATAAACGTAGAGAAGTGTGTGTTAAAAGTCTCAATAGACAGAGTGCTTTGACTTTACCATTTTCATGAAGATAGACCTTGAAACATCTTGATCAAATCAGCGTGGGGATTAGCCTCCTAGCTTGACCAAACCCCTTAAATAATGTGTTTTGTTTGCTGTTTTTTATATACTTGGGGCATTTTTTTGGCTTTTTGCCATGGGCATCAGAAACGTCAGGACCGGCCCTGAAAGTACCTGATTGATCTTATTCACTAATTCTATGTATCACATGTTCAGAGGAAGACATATCTGTTGAAATTACATAATATTTATATGACATATTTAGAATTACCAAATAAAAAGTATAACACATGTTCTTCTGTGCTGCTGCTGTTGTTTTGTTTTGGTGAATCTTGTTAGTGTTTCTTATTGTCTTGGATTATGCATGTTGGATTGATAGAAAATAATGGAATAAAGGAATGTATTAGGAATTGATTGAACTGATAAGAATTTTCTATTTTATGTGATACCCTGCAGGGCGATCAATCATGCTTTTTGGGGCGATAAGATCTATAATCCGACCTGTGTCACGAACCATACTTTTATCTCGCCCTATCACAACCACTTCATCCGCTTTCTCTAAGCCGTTGTTTTCTGCTACCTACAACAACGAGCCAAGTCCGCTTTTCAGATCAACTCACAGGAGCCACTTGTTTTGGAGACCGGCATCGATGAGGACAATTCAGAGCCTAACAGATACCCGCTTTCCGAAGAGAAGGCCGGTTGATAAGCCTCGTAGGAAAAGGGCTAGCTTGAAGCCTTCAGGTTAGGACTTCAATTTGTGTTATGTTGAATCAGATTTAGTGATGTTTAATTCAACTTGTCGTCAATTTGTGTATTTTGTTTGTTTGGGGGAATGAAAAAGGAAAAGTAAAATCCTCTTTTGTAAAAGGTAATGTAGGAGAAGAACGAATGATGTAGAGCCTACTTGAGGAGCCCCGACTGCTCCAAGGAACCTTAACCGTCTCCTACTAACAGTAACACTAAGGGGGCGTTGGTTCATAGGATTCTGATGGAATCTAAAGGAATTGGGATCGTCAATTCCATTGACCAAATTCGGTTCCAGCCTTTGGTTTACATATGAAATGGAATTGAATTCCACACATTCCATTCCACCATTCATGTATTTGGTTATTCTATCACAAGGGAGAACGAATTGAATTCCATTCCATCCCATTTCTTAAACGGACTTACCCTCATAATGATATATATATATATATATATATATATATTCACACACATACATATATATATATACACACACACAAAAGATATTCTACACAAAATGGTTCTTTTATTTGAAAACATCAGGTGTGTTGGGGACCCTGAGGTTTGGACATGGGATTGGTGGATAAAATTCAACTTGAAATGATTTTTGGTTTAATTTATTTTAGTTATCCAAACATACTATTGATCGTTTTACCCAAATTTGAGAAATTCAAGAGAGAATTTTAGTTGCTATCTTTGTCATAGATATTTGGTGTGCATTAGTCATTAGTTGTGTGCTTATATTTGGTTTGCATCATAAGGTAAATTCAATGTGATCGTTTATGGTAATGCAGGGCCTTATGCTTGGGTTAAGCATGTTCCTGGTGAACCAATACCTGGGAATCAACCAAATGAGGGAAGTGTCAAACATAGAAACGAAAAAAAGCGGATAAGACAGCGGCGGGCCTTCATACTGGTATTAGTCCGTTGGCTTGTCCTCCTTAATTCCATCACCATGTATTCTGTCATATATTAGTATACAGATTTATATAAATCCATAACTGATGCATAAAATCATGTGAGAAAATGCTAAACTCCAATTGATGATCAAACTCTGATGAGCAAAGTTCACGTGTTACCTTCTTTGAGATTAACTTGATTTTATAGTTCACAAGAAGTCACATGGAGTTGATTCCACATTGAATGATACAGGGAAGTGAGTATAACAGATGTCTCAACCTTCAGCCCATATATCTGTTACAATTTAATGTTTTTTTCCCATAATGTGTTAAGAGTAGAGGAGAAATGTTGTGTTTGACTCTGTTTTTTATAAATTTACTATGCAAAGAACCGCTAGCTCAGAACTAAACACGAATCCTTAGTTCTCAATTGAAATTGGTAATAAGTCTATTAGTTGAGTGAGAGTAGCTATGTAACCAAATACTTCGTGATGATTCTGCATCTATCTTTTATGCTTGCCTCAAATACGGTAAGTGGATAATGAAATTATTAGAGTTGCTGAATTGATGCCTTGTTCATGCATATTGAGATTATAACCATTGATGTTTCATTTAACCATAACTCCATAAGAATATTGATATCTAGTGCATTGGACACCATAGGTAGTTTGCAGGACACTACTCTTGTACTTGAATTCCAATATGTTCTATTGCACAAACGAGTTCATAAACCAGTGAGTAGAGCTGTTATTATCTGGTCTCTACCTCAAAGAGTAGAGCGGTTGTTTCATGAAGACCAACAGCTTTTGAAAAGTGTGCCAAAGAAGAAATGCAAATAAGATAAAAAAATGAAAAGCTAGATACGAGTAAGCAATAGCATACAAATAGAAGCAGGTGCAAGAAAAACATAACCAAGGTAAAGAAATTGCACAACCTTAGTCTAACTTAGGGCTATGGTAACCTAAAACGACTCGCTAATCTTATCCCCCACCCTCTTACCTCTCCAGCCACCCTTCCTCCCGACTAAACTATTCACCCATCCCCACCCTTAGTCTGCTACTCTAAACCTGCGTCTTCAAGAACTTCTATCAAAGGGCATATTGGAAGGATATAGGGTACACTTTTTAAGCATATCAATGATTATAAAAGACCTATATTTGCTGAATAGAATTAACACACGGAGTCCGGACAACATACAACAGATCTCTGCTTTGTTCCATATAAGCAAGTAATATATAATTTATGTTTGAAAACCAACATTTTTTATGCATTATTTTAGACGTTGCAAATATTGGGGCCACCATATGCCCCTTAAGATGTAGTCATTTCGATGATGCTCTTCCAGAGCTATTTATCGTTGGAATCTGAATGTGACCCATATTGCCACCCGTTATTTTGTTTTATGTGAGAATAAGAGAATGTGGCAAATATCTTCCAGAGTGCAATCTCCCTTTTCTTTTATCCTCATTTAAAGAGTTTGCACTTCTAAACAAAGTTTGAATTGCTTAATCAATACCATATTACGGGTCTGCTGGTTCACCCACTTTTTAAACATGGGAACCACTGCAAATAGATCATCAAACCTCCTTTAAGTAACCTCGTAATGACCTCTGATGTGGTTGCTCATAGTCTGCCTTCTAAGTGGTTCATATTGACTTCCAAACGAACAGTCAACTTTCATCTCTATGAATGAGATCATAGGATCTGAGTAAAATGGGCCTTTTTAGTCTTCCTTCCATCTTTTGTACTCTCTTTTCTCTCTATTAAATGCACCAACTAACGCCTATTTATGGGCATTCTACACCAATTAAGACTTATCTTCTGATTTGTTGGTGAAACTTGTCTTTCAAGATACTGCATCTGTCACCAAATGATCTCTCTTTTTGATCATTTGATCTCTCTCTCTCTCTCTCTTTCTCTCTCCCATATATATATATATATTATTTTTTCTTTCTTTTTTCCATTTACATAACCTTTTCTCTTTATTATTTCTAATTGTTTAATAATACTTATATTTTAATAGATGTATGAAACAAGGTGTTAATCGTTGCAGAATGCTCATAATAAGACATTAACTGGTACATTTAACCCATACCTCCTCTCCATTTTTAATTTCTTATTAATTGACTCAAAGCATACCTTCCAAGAAAACTCATCGATGCTATGTGGCTTTCTTCCGTAAACATGATAACCCAGTTCTTCTGCATGGAGTTTCAGTCTTGGCTGATATTGTTTATGATGTGTTAAATTGATAAATTACCATGAGTTACCGAATCTTTTCCAATACCCTTGTAACCTCCTGCTACTTATAAAAATCTTCCTGAAACCTATACCCTCCCTCTCTCACTCTCTCACACACATGTGTATCATACAGTTAACTCATTCTATGTATTTACAGAACCCCAAATGCTATGTGGAACAGTTTCTATTTGTATGCCATACGTGTCGAAAAAAGTGATGATATTTGCAAGAGCTCAGAACTTCTATTTTTGTGTAACAGATGCATGAATCTATGAGAGGTAGGATTGCACAGAAGTATCATGATCATTTGATGTATTTACTGTATGAAACTCTTAGGTTCGGTTTGTTTTGTAGGATTGAAATGGATATGGAGGGATTTGTAACTGAATTCCAATCCATTCGCATGTTTGGTTTGAAGGATTTCGTGGATTTGAAATCCACAAACATAGGATTTTGAAATCCCATGGGAGTGGTTAGTATTTTATGGGATTTCTTAGGATTTGTATATAATATTATTGTACAGTATGCAAGGTTTTAAAAAGTGGAATTGTGCATCAAGGCGTTTTCCTTCAACGAGGCGAGACGTAATCCCCGAGGCAAAAATATATATACTACATAAAATATATTTATTCCAATCTGTATTCCGCTGCTTCTACTTAGAAAATATAGGCAATATATATATACACACACACTTCACACTTGAGTACTAGACACAATATATATATATATATATATATATATATATAATACTAAATTACCAAATGAATCTTCATACACTTTTTCAATCACGAAATATGGATATGGTAACAAAGAACAAAAATATTGATCTATTCTTAACATATATATGTATGTATTAATATGCTCACAACTCATAAAGAAAAAAATATTAAATATCAACAAAGTGGGAGTAGAAGTGTGACCGTGGCATGTAGTAGAGACTAAATATAAAAGAAGTGTATCCAACATATGCATATACATAATACTCCCGTGAACCGAAGAAAATGCAAAGAAAATGCAAAGAAAATGGGAGAAAACTGGAACTCAAGAAGGACACAAACAAGTAGCAGATAGGGCTTAGGAGAACTAGGGAAGAACAAGGTTTTCAAAAAAGAAATAGAGAAGGTTTCAGTCATTTTTTTAATAGTTTAGCCTCTGTATTGAGGCGTACGCCTTTCCACCGCCTCACGCCTCACCGTCTCGGTTACCGCCTCATGTGCGATTTTGGGCCGCCTCGCACCTCGAGCCGTGTGGCTCACACGCTTTTTAAAACCATGAAAGTATGTTAAAAACATTTGTTTTGTAATAATCAATTAATAAAAAGGTAATTTAATTATTTTTATAATTGTAAATTTGTTCCTATAAATTATTTATAAATGATGGAATTCAATTCCATTCCAAATCCTACAAACCAAACGCACCAAAATTTTCAAATCCTTCCAAATGCAAATCCCTCCAATTCTAAATCCTTCCACAAAATCCAAATCCCTCAAAACTATTCCATCAAACCAAATGCCCCCTTACGGGTGCTTGCTTGGGCGGTATTAGGGGGTGTGGAATGGGAATGTTAATGAGAAAAACTGTTTGGTATTATATAATATAATGGGCCTATTACCCAAAATTCAGTAATCCTCATTCCAGACTAAATTTTGGGGTATGAAAACATGCCCATTTCCATTCCCCACCTTTCCTATTCCCATTCCCTAAAATGAACCAAGCGCTCCCTTGGTTGTATATGACTTGGTCATTCGTCATGCCATATACCTGTTGGTTCATACCAACAGTGTAGTTTAATACCGAAGGCATCTCTAAATAAACAACTGAAAGCTTAACTACACATATATACGCATCAGGTTGCAAAAACTAGTCAAGTAAATCTTTATTTAAATTTTCTAGCTTCTAATTGGGTTATAGTTGCTTCATAGACTTGGGATCCTTCCATTTAACTCACTTGACATTTTCATTTTCTGAGTCACATTTATAAATATGAGAACAAAGATGACCTCTTGAGTTCCATGAGTGAAACGAATGTGTGACCCATAAAGTGGACGATGGAGTAAACGGTACAAACAAATATGTTCTCCAATACTATCCATTTGTCTGTACCAGGACTGCTTATATCTTACCCGCGGACCCCACCTCCAGGTGGGACATACCATGCTCGTTTGATTTGGTTTCAGAAAAGGAACGCTTATAGAAGCCTGCTTTGTGGGGGTTCTTTACAACACAATGACACATTTCACCTCCTTCGTTAGATCTTCACATTTCGTAACTAGTTAAATATTGATCATGATTGTTGTTTTGAAGTGACCCAGTTGCTTGACTATTGACTAGCTATGTACCCATGCAATGCAACAGCATGTAGAATTTTATTGTAAATTGATGATAGAAAATTATGCAATTTCTCATTAAAAAATAAATCAGAAACTTATGGAGTATTCAATAGTATTAGTAGGGTTCAACGCACACTCTATATTTGAACATGTTTGTAGGTTGGTTTTCTTGAGTTCAAACATATGTTGTATTAAGTTGTAAACTTGAAGTTGAATAGATTATGCATTAACAAGCGGTACATAATTCTTAATAATTTGTTTCTAAGAGTTTTTGTCGTATTCATGTGAATTGGATTTTGACAGGCAGAAAAGAAGAAACGTAAGGCTGAGTTGCAGGAAGCCAATAGGAAGAAGAGAATTCAGAGGATAGAACGAAAGATGGCTGCAGTAGCCAGGGATCGAGCTTGGGCTGAAAGACTAGCGGAGCTGCAGCAGCTTGAAGAAGACAAAAGGAAGGCGGCAGCGACTACCGCGTAATTTTGCATCTTTGCAGGTAATGTTTGCTTGTCAAATTGGATATTAGAATCGAGAATTGTATACTTTTATGTTTCTTAACTCGTTTTTTCTTAAAAATCCAAGATTTTGTGCATCATGTTTGAATGATTGCATTCACCTCTTGGTTTCTTCTTGTATGTTCAATTCCATCTTTAATTTGGAGAACAATGCTTTTCCAAATAGATGGCACTTCTCTCTTATTTATAGGTGCTCCATTTATTGCCTCAGTCGTAGGATGGTGGGCTCGGGTTAATACTATGGCGCCCTTTCTTACTAAGACAAAGGATCGTATGAGAATAGGAGTTAAAGTGAGAAGTATAAGAAGGGATTTGGACCCTTGATCATTTTTAATCCCAAAACAACCCATGAACTGCGTTTTAGAAGGGAATTGATATAGTGTATCTGATTACTGTTGATCTAGTGGTTTCTTCAATTAGGATTGATTCAAGGGTGGCGATTTCTTCTCATTGTAACTTTCATTCTCACAGGAACCCAACCCTCCTTGCTGCAGACTCGCAATGATTAATTAGTATGGTATGGTGGGGACGCTTCAGATGGTGGCTTCTACCCTTCTTTATTTACTTATTTGTAGGTCATTTTACCTTTTCATGGGGAAAACCAGTTATGTGTTAACTTTTAACCAGTTATAACCGGTGTCGAACAAAAACCGTCATCAGATAATTGATTATGGCATAACTGGTCCGGTTCGCTAACCAGTTTGTAGCCAAAAATGTGTAACTGACCTCAAAGCCCAATCCATTTTAACTTGTCCCTTGATCAATGGCCGAACTCCATGGATGTTTTTCTGTAGATCGGTCATAACCGGTTTAATCTTGACCTCAGTCCTTTGATTACCGGTTATTTGAAAAATTATATAATAGGAACTGGTCGGTTATAAATGGTTTCTTTCAACCAATCAGAATGTGATCGATCCAGGTCTAGATCAAGATTCGATTCAGATCCAGGTGTTAACTGGCTTTTGAACCTCCTTCTGTATTTGTACATTCCAAAATCGTTTTCGAAGGTGAAGAAATACGAGAGAACCCAAATGAAAACAAAGCAAAGAAAATTGGATGCATCAAGAAATGACCAATTGTTCAATTAGTTATTGATTGATCTTGATCTTGATCTTGATTTATATGAGCTTTCTTTGCTTTTGTACATGATTTCAAAAGCAGTGGGTAGGGGTGTAAATGATGCGAGTTGAGCTCGAGTATCAATATACTCGACTCGAACTCGAAACCTAATTCCCAAGCTTAAACTCGACTCGAACTCGATAACCATTTCTCAATTTTCGGTTTCTAACTGAAATAAAGATTTCCTTTGGTTGTTCTTCATTCTCCTACAAACAATCTCATTTCAATTCATTCTCCCATCATCTATTCAAGTTTTTGTGACTTTGACTTCCACAAATCTGTAGTCAAACTTACTCGTTCCATTTTCTTAAATGAATCTTTTAGCTTTCCTTTTCAAACTCAGAGATTTCAAAACTATTTCCCTTTTCATCATCAAGTTAAAGCCTTTCTGCTCAACGAAACTGAAAGGATGTTCATGCGTAGTGGTCCAATGGGCTATCCATTCTCACATATTTAACATGTCAAGTTTACCATCTATATTATATTATGAAGTATTTACGATAATCTCTTAAAAACTACTTTTTATGTATCAATTATCGCTAATTAATCTATATTACTTAAAATTCAAGATTACAAGTTGATCAAGCATAACTACAATTTATTAAAGCTCTGTATTTGAATTCGTATAACTAACTGCAGATAAGCATAATCTAATATAAGATAAACATCTCATTTTAAATATAAATAATATAAAATATAATAAAAATGATCATTGGGTTCTAACAGAATTATTGTCTTTATAAAAAATTATATTTTTAAAAACATAAAATAAATTACTTCGTTATTAAACCTAAATTAAATTATAATAAAAAATTAAACTAAAAAGTTATCTTTATAAAAAAACGTTAGATTATTAAAATGAGTTACATCATTATTAGATTTAAATTAGATTATAATAAAAAACGTGAACTAAAAAATTATAAATAATGAGAACGTTTAAATTGTTAATTTGATATTAATATCAATATATTTTTTTCAAATTTTTATGGAGTTTTCAAATTTATATTTTATTCAAATATAAGAAGATTATTGTTTTCTCAAAACCATACAAAACCGTATTATAAAAGCGACAAAGACAAACAATAAAACGAAAAACTAAAATCAAAGATGTATTGATGCATTGTGCGAGAAAAAAAACTCTTAAAACCTATTTTTTATGCATTAAATACTGTTTATTAATGCATATAACTTAAAATTCAAGATTACCATTAAATAATGCATAAGTACAACTTTGTAAAGTTGCATGTTTGAACTCATATAACTAACTAATAAACATGATCAAATATAAGATAAACATCTCATTTTAGATATAAATAATATAAAATATAATTAAGATAATGATGGAATTCTAACAGCATACTTAATTACTATTTTATAAAAAACATACGTTATTAAGCCTAAAATAAATTACATCATTATTGAATATTAATTAAATTATAATAAAAATTAAATTAAATAAATTATATTAAAAGCAAATGGAGCCTTCAAATAGTAAAAAAAAAATCTATATTATAAAATTCACAAAAAGCAAATAATAAAACGAAATATTAAAATCAATATGTATCTCGTAGTATTGTGCGAGTATATTTATATTATTTATAGCACATTTTGGAATTCCGTTAAACTCTTAAAAATCATTTTTAATGCATCAAATATAGTTTGATGCATATTACATAAAATTCAAGATTACAAGTATATATAGTGTATGAGTACAACTTTTGTAACACCCCCATATTCTACATTTGCATAAAATACATATTTCATTACATCAAAACATGAATTACATCAAAAGGTCCCACTAGTACAAGGATTGCTATATGTACAAAATCTACATATAAAAATTTCCAAAACAAATCTTGTACTACTACATGTAATATAACATGTATCTTCCAAAAGCAGGAAACAGATTAGGAAAATAATCACATTTTCCCTTTCCCTTTAATATCCCCGGACCCAGCTATTCCTGCATTGCATATTTTAAAACATAAAATGAGGGTTAGACCATACGGTTCTAGTGAGTAAATCCCCTATTTGCAAATGCAGGGTGACAAATACCAAAATATGATAATGTAATTTTGGCTTTAGAAATATACTGCAATAAAACAATTTATGCAGTTCCCAATATCATACATAAAGAAGTATATCCAAAAATCTCACTTCTTTAAAATATTTCTAAACAGAGATCCAACTTTTCCAGTATCAAAACTTTTTGAATTAAAACATCATTCCCTTAACAGGAAAGATTTATGGCATAACTTGCCTGATATGACAAACCATTTTCCCCTTCTCAATAACATCTAAATTATCACTTCTAAATAGGAATAATATCTTTAATTCATCAGGTCACAAAGAAATGATGATTCAAAGTTATTAAATCCAATTTAGTAATAATAATAAGAGTTATAATAATAACATCCACATATGACAATGTCACCCTTATTCCAAGTACACCTCTCCTTGATATGCCACCCTTATTCATCCATTAAATCAGAGCTACTTATCAGAACAGACATAAGTCACTACGTCTGAAAGTACTCAATCCCAGTTCCAAGCCAGAACAGACATAAGTCACCACGTCTGGGGGAACTACCTTTTAAAACTCACTTCCATACCAAAACAGACTTATGTCACCACGCTTGGTAGGAAGGTTTCTCAAAATATAGTTTCATATCAAAACAGACTTACGTCACCACGCTTGATAGGAAGGTTTCCCAAAATATAGTTTCGTATCAAAACAGACTTACGTCACCACGCTTGGTAGAAACATTTCCCAAAATCCCGTTCCAATACCAAAACAGACTTACGTCACCACGCTTGGTAGGAACATTTCCCAAAATCCCGTTCCAATACCAAAACAGACTTACGTCACCACGCTTGGTAGGAACATTTATCAAAACTCATTCCATACCAAAACAGACTTACGTCACCACGCTTGGTAGGAATATTTTATTTATTTTAAAAGATATAAAATAACCATTTTTATGAATCATAAATAAATAAATAAATATTTAAAAACTTATAAAATTTTCAACAGAAAACCATCCGGATAACAAGTCCGGTCAACTAATCCGGTCAACAACCATCCAGTTTACAACACTTAGACTAAAAGTCCACTTTGTCCGGACATCTAATCCGGTCAACACCCCAAATATTCTTTGAACGGTTTAACACTTAGAATAAAAATCCATATTGAGCGGATATCCAATCCAGTCAACAATCCGTTCAAGACTCGCCCGGTTTAAGACTAAACCGCTCACCAMTCAACCAGTTTACCAACTCCGGTCAACAAACCGCTCAAGGTTTGTCCGGTTTAAACTAATCCGGTCACTAAACCTTTCAAGGCATGTCCGGTTTAAGACAATCCGGTCACTAAACCGCCTAAGGCTTGTCCGGTTTATACCCTTATCCGATCAAGCTTTGTCCGATTTAAATGTTTATCCGGTCAAGCTTCGTCCGGATAAACACTTAGACAAAATCATCAAAATTTCTTTTCAAATAAGAACAATACGAAATATGACTTTAAAACCAGTAGAAAGCTTTATGTAAAAAGTTTTAGAACCACTCACCTTAAAAAAGTTTTTGAATCCAAAATTCTTGAAATCAACTTGAATCCTTCCTCTCTTGATAAACCGGACAACACTTCCTTTTTAAAACTCTCTCTCAAATTCTCAAAATGGCAGGAATCAAATGAAGAGGTTAAAACCTTTTTTATACTTTCCCAAAAGGGAAAGTCGGCTAAACCTTCACACACACATGCATACCCACATGCACCCATGTACATATATATATATATATATATATATTCAATTAATTCGCAAATTCTCATACCAGCACGTATCAATTATCATGCTATCACGTAACCAAATAGTCAAATAATCACGTATTAAATACCTTGGGTAATAACCAGGATCTGGTTATTACAACTTTTTAAAGCTATATATTTGAATTCGTATAACTAACTCATGAAGGTAATCAAATATGGGATAAACATCTCATTTTAAACATAAATAATCTAAAAATATAATTAGGATCATCATTTAGTTTTAACTATGGTTCTAAATAACTCATTATGGCCTCGTTATGGCGCATTATGGCGTCAAGACTTGAGTTCGCCGTCACGTTAACCTCTATGGCTCCATTCTTAGGCTTGGTTTGCATTGTAACGGGTTATGGCACGTTACGACATGCTATGGCGCGTTACGACATGCTATGGCGCGCTACGTCGCATTACGTTGTGAGCTGCGGGATTACATTAATATATAACTTTTAGGATCAATGATAATTATGTACGAGTTATAGGACATAAATACACATAAAAAAGAAACCTAAAACTAAAACCTCGAATACGTCAATAGTTACTCACATTCACATACATGAGAATTCGAAAACGAATTCTTTGAAAATTAAAAAACTAAAAAGGTAATGAGTAGAGATTCAAGAGATTTAATCTCGATTTTGCCCTCTTGATATCACTTTCTATAAGTTCTATTTATTTGGTATCAAAGGTTCTTCTTTCTTTTTAGTTTTATTATTTGTTATACAATATTATTCAAAACACTAACACATACAAGTCTGAGTGTCAGTGTATATATGTGTATACATACATACATACATACATACATACATACATACATACATACATACA